TAGTCAGAATTTTGTGGACAGGCCTTAAGGTTTTCTTGAACATTTGCTTCTTTAGCACTTTGATAAAACCACTTTTAAAGTAAATGGACTCATGTCTTCAAAGCTTCTTCAGTTTTGGTTTGAAATAATTTACTTATGTCTTGTCTATGCAGAAGTACTAGAAGTTTTACTAATTTTAACTATTAGTCATTTCAATGCAGTCAATTTTTTGTTATCTGCAAAAATGAGGGAAACAGTGATGTAGAACTGGTTCATTTTATAACACATTTCTTTTATCTTCCTGGTTATGTTTATGCAAACAAATGTTTAAATCTGTATTTCTTGAGAATGTATTTACTTGAAAATAGAAGCAATCCAAATGTATGTACTATTAGGCAGAAACCAATCTAGAATTTTTAAATGTTCTTGGATAATCCCTAAAATGCTTTCAAGTACAAAAGGGAGTTGGCAGCATAGTAATGGCAATTTTTGGCAGGGTGGGAGGTGGGGACTTCAAAGCTTGTTATTATAGTGACCAGCTTTTGGTATTTCATTGTTACTGAGATCTATTTTTAGAATAAAATTTTGTTCTCCATCTAAAAGTTTCAAGAGTATGTTTTTGCTTCATTTCTTTATACTCAAGAGCAATCAACAGGCCAGAAAAAGCCCAAATTAAAAAAGTCAGACTGCAGGTGCAAATTTGATTCTAAAAAGCAAAAAAAAAAAAAAGATACAATTTACATAAACTCTTTGGGGGATTCCTGTATTTTTTAGGGGTTCTGAGATCAAAAAGTTTAAGAATTGGTATGAGGGGGGAGATTCAGGAAGTATGCTGCAAAAATTTACTATCTTTTCATTCCATTTTTCCATGAACAGTTTGAAGCCCCCACATACATACACTAAGATTTATATAGTAGACTGAAACATTACACTTCAAGAGAAAATTTAGGTCTGCCTTCCAAGAAAACAGCCAATTGCCCTTTAATGTATACATTCGATGGCAGCCAACAGTATAGGCGCTCTAAGGGAATCAATCAGAGGGTGGAGCATAAGAGAAAACTATTCAGCTCCAGGACTTGTGCTCTTTTCACAGAGAACATGGGAAACACACCAAGACAGACTACAAGAGGCTTAATAAATGATGTTAAGTGCTGTCAAGTGGGTTCCGTCTCAGAGCAACCCTACCTATGATATGGGTTTCTGAGGAGCAGCTGGTGGGTTTGAAAACTGACCTTATGGTTGAGTCCAGGACTTATCCTATAATGCCACACCACAATGCCTAATAAATAATAGTTTATGTAATTTTCCCATTTAGATCAAGAGGGTGAAGAAATAGTTTCCAAACATAAATAAAAAAGAAACCAAAATATATTAGCAAGTTTTGGGGGTTTTTTTACTGACAATGTTCTGGAGTCACTCCCACTTGGACCAAAAAAAGTTCACGGTACATCACTTACTGTCTTCAACAATCTTCACTGTTTCACTGAACCAGTTGCCACATTTGTAAAACAGATAAACTCTCCCAGGGTTTTAAGATTTAAACTGGTTAATGAATAAACCCAACAAATCACCTGACATTCGATTTGTTTGTGATTATTAGGTGGGCAAAAATGGTGAAGGTAAAAAAAGTCTAAAACCCTACTCCCAATTTAGGCACATGTGAATTCAACAAATAGATAAAGAACTAAGTACATTACCTTTTATTTGTATTTAATGCAATATTTTACTGAATGTGAAAAGACTCAAAATCCTTATATATTATTAAAACATACTACAGGTAGTCTCTGCCTGACTTATAATATACTCAAGTTAAGATGAATTGCATTTAATAGCCATTTGGGTTTTTTTTTTTGCTTTGTTTTGTACATCTATCATTAGTAATATGCATTACACACATGATGCATGTAATCTGTTATTCTCAGATGATCACTTGCAAATGTTTGATGTTACTTATACATATATTGATAATAAATAGCAGCAGTAACCAAAACAAAACAGGTATTAGACTTACATCAGAACCAACTTACAATGGAATCATCTGTACCTTGAATCAAGTCAAATACGATGTTTGCCAATTAGTCAATTCCAACTCACAGAGACTCTATATGGCAGAGGAGAACTGCCTCATAGAGTTTCCTAGGCTGTAATGTTTACAGGAACATATTGGTAGGACTCTTCTCCTTAGGTGCTACTGGTGGGTTCAAGCTACCAATCTTCCAGTTAGTAACCAAATGCTTAACCTTTCATTGTTTAACACCAAGGCTCCTAAGTAAGATGATAAATTTACAAATAAAATCAAAGAGTTGTTATAGTTACACTAGATGGTGCCCCATAAAGTTTTTTTTAGTATCAACACATATAAGGGCAGTTTGCTCAAAAAAGAATAAACCATAAAAGCAGTTAAGTGTCGTTGAGTCAATTCCAACCCATAGCAACCCATAGCTTCTGAGGAGCAGCTGGTGAACTTGAACTGCCAACCTTGCAGTTCAAACAACTTTGCAGTCTGGTACATTAGCCCACAGCACCACAACAGGACTCCATAAAAGCAGTTAGACCCATATTAAATCTTTTTACTTTGTTGAAAGAATTAGAGCTAATATGCTTAGAGTATCTTGCAGCTCAGTCTCTGGCATACAGTGGATCCTCAATATATGTTGTTGCTGTTATGTACCGTGGAGTCGGTTCCGACTCATAGTGACCCTGTACAGGGTTTCCGAGGCTGTAAATCTTTACAGGAGCAGAAAGCCTCATCTTTCTCATGCGGAACAGCTGGTAGTTTTGAACTGCTGATCTTGCGATTCACAGCCCAATTTGTAACCACTATGCTACCAGAGCTCCTTCAATATATAGTAACTATTTTTTAAGCAAGGAGTCCCTGGGTGGTGCACAACTTGACTGCTAACCGAAAGACTAGAGGTTCCAGTTCATCCAGAGGTACTCGAAAAGCCGATTTTAAAATCAGCTGTTGAAAACGCTACAGAGCCCAGTTCTACTCAGACTCGGCTCTACTCGGAATCAGCTTAATGGCAACTGGCTTTTATTAATGAAAAAAGTTTCTTCAAAGATTTAATAGCATTTCACAGTAACAAAGCTAACTAGTTCCAAGATGTAAACACCCCTCCTTTTGGTCCTCTAATAACCCTAGGGGCAGACTCATTCTCACTAACATGAGGTCTTGTATCTCATTATGAATCCTCAATACCAAATCACAGCAGCCCAATGAACAACAGAATGAAGTGCTACACCATCCTCAATCACTACTGTGTTGAAGCCCACTTCCACTGCTGCATCAACTGTTGTCAATCCATCTCACTGAGGGTCTTCTTTTATTTTGCTGACCCTCTACCAAGAATGTCCTCTAGGCACTGGTCCCTCCTAATAATGACAAATGTATGCATTTGAATGTGTATATATATATATATATATATATATATATATATATATATATATATATATATAAGCCCATCAGAATGAAAACAGGCAAGAGAACAGATTGGAGCAGAGAAAACATTTCACCCTTCCCAGTGTATTCTCTATTTAAATGAATCCAAAGGTATTTGGGGGTGAGGAGTAAAATGGAGTTTTTAATATTTAGTTTGGTTTGGTTGGTTAATCCACCTGCCCTCACAAATCTGTCAGCCCAAGAAAAGATCAAATACAGTTGGGCCCATAAAAGGAAATGTCACTGCCTATATCCCACCTCATTCAATCAACAACTATGTAACAAAATGATTGCATTTTTTAAAATTCAAACACAGATGTACCAAATTTTATTAAGTTTTTTTTAACAGAGAATTGTTTAATCCCATACTGTATTCATTATGACTTCTGGCGTGGGGCTACAGAATCAACACTGGGCTGTGAAACACAAGGTCAGCAGTTCAAACCCACCAGCTGCTGCTCAGAAACCCTACAGGGTCGCTATGAGTCGAAACTGACTCAACTGCACTTAATAATATATTCATTATATGTAACTGTTGTTAAGTACTATCAAGTCAGTTTTGACTCAGCGACCCTGTATAGAGTTTCCAAGGAGGGGCTGGGCTGGTGAGTTTGAACCACTGATCTTGCTATTCAAACCAACCTTTCGGCCCAGTGCATTATCCCACAGCACCACACCAGGATTCTGTCATTATTTAAAAGAACCTCATAAATCACATTACTATTTTAAAACATTTCAATTTGCTTTTGAAGAATCCAATTTTTTTAGTAGCAAGCACTTGTTTACAGTGTACTGTGTCTATGCACATTACCTAATCCTTATAACCCTATGAAGATAATATGGACATTACTTTTTAAATCAAGGGGCAGGAAAAAAAATCATTTGATAGTATAGTCTTTAAAAGCATTTTATTATGTTTGTCACAAATTAGGGAAAAGCTTATTTACCAGTAAGAAAAAAAATCCCTACAAGTGAAAAGCACCAACAAGAATTTGGTACCATAACTCTGATCAACTCCAGAGTTCCTGGTTTCCAGTTCTTTTAAATTACACTTTTATGCCATACTGAAAATCTGCAGATAGAACTCCAAATCCAGTAACTTGAAATGATACATAACAGCAATGTGACATTCCTTTAATTCTTTCTAAGTCCACACCATATACACCAGTATCATTCATCAAAAATAAACCTTCCCTTGCAAATCAACAGATTAAGACTACATGTGATACATGATTCTATATCTTAAGGGGAAAACAAGATTACTCGTACCAAAGCAAAATAGAACACAAATATTACTAATCTAAAAACCAATCATTCCTTATTTTCAAACCAAAACCTACTGCCAAGGAATCAGTTCTGACTCACACGTTCCTACAGGACAGCGGGAAACTGCACCATAGGGTTTCCAGGGCTGTAAAGCTTTATGGAAGTAGACTGCCACATCTTTCTCCCAAAAGGCAGCTGAGTGCTTAGACGCTATGCCACAAGGTCTCCTTAGTTTATTTCGTATACCTTCAAATGTCCAACAGTATTTTAAAGACTTTTTTTTATGTAGGCTAATATATAGGCAAGTTTTATTTTATGAAAGAAATGTACGAACAGTGCCCTTGATTATACCCCTGCAAATAGGACATTTTCTTAGAGATGGGGCACATTCCTGGCATACTACCAGATGACCACAAGGAATGAATACAATTGAAACTTCTTTGTCCATACACACTTTACAAGTTCTCTCTTCTTGCAACCTCCTTAACTGTTCTTCCAATGACAGACCTAATGAAAAAAAAAAAAAAAAAAAAAAAAAAACAACTTCAGTGATACGCAGTTTCTATGTTACCTCCCATTTTAAAAATAAGGATAACATTTCATGTTGATTTTAAATGTTAAGTTTGTCTTACCTGACACATCTTCTGTTGGAATATATTTCATATTCTTTTCCACTGAGGAAAGACAAACATACAAAAAAAAAAAGCATCAATCTACCATCATTACAAGACTGCTTCACCTAATATCTTCTTGTTTCTTTTAACCTACTACCTATTCTTGGACTCCCCTGGTGTGGCGCTGTTGGTTAATGCGCTGGACTACAAAGTCCACTTGGACCAGGAGGCCTGTGGTTCAAGTTCACCAGCTGTTCCTTGGAAACCCTATACAGGGACACTATGGGTCAGAACCCAACTCAACAGCACATAACAACAACAACAACCTATTCATGCGCTGGACTGCTAGGCCGGTTTGAACCAGGAGGTCAGCAATCCAAGTTCAGCAGCCACTAACTGGAAATCCTATACAGGGTTGCTCTGAGTCAGAACTGTCTCGACAGCACTTAACAACAACAACAACCTATTCAATAATGCAGACTCTGGCTAAACATTATACAGAACTGTTACATTTAACCATACTTCTTGAGCAATAAAAGACTTCATTTTTCTGGGATGAGTTAAAGATTATACTTTGCTAATTGGATTTATTTTGTTTGTCAAAGACAGATGAATATAACTAAAGGGTTTCTAAAACTTAATATTCCCAACAGACTCACCAAATAAGTTCTTATATAATGAAAAGTCGATTTCCCTTAGACAGTTTTTGAAGATGTTAGCTGCAGCATTTCCTTTAACTAAAACAGTATCAATCAGTTCTCTTGCTTGTAAAGGTATCTGTGTTTTTTGTTTAATAATATCATGTTCCTGTTTATTGATTATATTGGCTGTTAGGAGATTATCCAGGATAGGAAGCACACACATCAACTGTTGAAAGAGAGCCATTCTATTCTTCCGAATTAATGACAAGTCATCTTCATTCAAAAAAGAAAAGAAAGAAAAATTACATTAGATTTTTAATGTTTCCAACTACACTGCATGAAGTCACTAAGAACCAATTCTATAAAAAAATTAAGCCATTAGGTAAATGAGTTTGAAAAAATTAAGACAAAATTATCTGTTTATACTTTAAAGCTTATCACTTAGAAAACTTCCAGAAGATTTAGCTAAGCTATATTATAGTGTACATACAAAGTCTCTGTTTTTGTACTTTAAAATGTCTACATATTGGAGAGCTTCAAAAAGTTCATGAAAGGATGAAATTAAAAGATATTGGAACTGTTCCATGAACTTTCTGAAGTCTACTGTGTACATGTTTTAGATCTCTGCTCTTCCTTTAATCTGTTGAAAGTATATAGAATTTTAGAAAATAATAAGTTACTGACTTCTATAGTCTTACCCATGGAATTAGTATTATTGACTTCTATTTGCATTACATCACATTAGGATTCTAAGCACTTCATATCAATTGTCTCATTTAAAACAAGGAGCCCTGGTGGCAGTGGGTTAGGAGTTGGGCTGCTGACTACAAAGTCAGAATTTGAAGTTACCAGTCACTCCAAAGGAGAAAGACGAGGTTTTCTGCTCCTGTAAAGATTTATAATCTTGGAAACTGTACATGGTTACTACTGAGTTGGAACTGACCTAACAGCACACAACTACTGCCATCACCACCACAGTTTTCCCCAGGGAATACTACTGACTTCTATTTGCATTTAGTGTTCTAAGCACTTCATGTTGTCTCATTAATACAACAATCCTCTCAAGGCAGCCATGATTGCCTCTCATTTTAAGATACAGAGAAAAAGACTCAGAAATGAATGACTTACCTGCTCACAGTCACAGAGAGATAAGTTAGCAGAACCAGGTCTCCTAAATCAGTGTTATTTTTTTTTAATATTTACTTTTTTTTTTTTTTTTTTGGTGAAAATATGCATAGCAAAACCCACTCCCAATCCGCAGTTTCTAAACAAAATGACCAGTATTGTTGTTAAGTGCCATCGAGGAAGTTCCAACTCATAGTGACCCTGTCTAGGGTTTCCAAGGAATGGCTGGTGGGTTTTCACCAGTGACCCTGAGGTTCAAACCAACTGTGCAGTCCAATGTATTATCCTTCAGTGGCACAACAAGATTCCATGATAGTAGTTACATTTTTCATAAACCAATGTTCTTTCATCACCCCAAGCATAAGCAGAACTCTGTGATGAACTTGTATGGTGAAGTCAGGACTGGTCTAGTCTAACTTACTAGCTAAATGCCCTATCTCTCATCTGTAATAAGCCTGAGGTTTCTCTCCTGTAATATAAATATAATAACAGATGACAATACCAAATATAATAACAGATGACAACACCTTCCTCAAAGAGC